GCTGGAAATGGAGCTCCATTCCTCAGGTTTAAGGAGCAGGAGCACCTGTCACCACCTGCCTCCCCGAGCTGGCTGTTGCTTTTTTAATGCCTCTCCTGAATCCTGAGTGTCTCCCAACAGGAATTTGTGTTTGGGGTTTTCTCTTCACAGTAGGTTTGATTTCCTCCTCAGTGGAGAATCTTTTTGGAGCCTTAAAAGTAAATAAATGGGTTTGTTTCCCCACAAACTAAGAGCAAAAACTGTAGCTGGTCTCTCTAACTGCAGGAGAGAGCTCTTAACCTGCAGCCTCAAACTTATTTGTGGCCTTATCAGTGCCAGCTATCAAATGACCACAGCTCCCTTTTGACAGGGAGCAGGCAGTGTCCCAGTGACCCAACAAGCTTGTCCCCGTTTTCTAATTTATTCAAAACAATTTCTTAGTTGACTTTTTTTTTTTGGTAGACCTGCTTCTAACTATTTTTTAATGAACTCCTGGAAGTGTGTGTTTCTTGTGGACCTTTGAACTTCCTGGTGTGCCCAGCCTTTGCTCAGGAGATATGTTTATATGGTTGGCTCTGAGTGTGCTTAAGTGTGTTTTAACCCTTTGGAGCTGAATTCCCAGGGAACTGTTGCAGTTTCCTTCCCTTCTGTAGGAGATGCTCAGGCACAGAAATGGTTGTTGGCAAACCCAGGCTTTGCCTGAACCAGCCGCTTTCCTCCTCTTCCCCCAAGCCTATAAAGGTGAAAGCTGCTCTTCCCTAAGCATGGAAAGGGTGATCCATGAACTCAGGGGGCTGCACAGGAGCCCCTTCACTTGCCCAGGGGTGTTGCTGGTGGGCAGCACATTGAAACCCTCGTGCTGGGCAGGACCAGGTGCCACGTGGCCTCTGCTGGAATTATCTGTGTGACCTGTGATTCTCTGGCAGTTGGATCGAGCTGTGCAAGTCTGCTGTTGATATCCAACCTCACTTCCAGTGCCTGGAAATGCAGGGCCAAAGTCTGTGTCCAGGAGCCCGTTGTGCTGGGAGTGTCACTGCTGTGGTGCCACCAGTGCTGGGTGAGAGGGGACAGAGCTCTGGGTAGGGGTGACCCTTCACCTCTGCCAGGGCTCAGTGTCTCCTCCTGCTGAAAGCTGCAGAATGAAGTGTCTTGTCCTGCTTTTTGGCTGCCTCTGCCAAACTCCTGGGTTTTTTTTTGTTCCCTCTCTCTTTCTCACCTGAGGTGCCACTGACTTTTTTTACTGCTAAATTCCATTCAGTCCCTCACAATGTTCAGGGTGTCCTGATGGAGGATGTCTGTGCAGATGATCAGGGTCTTGCATGGTGGAGCCTTCTCTGCCCAATACAACAGTTGCCTCCTCCCCTGAGCTGCCCAGGTCCTTCTCTGTGATCTATAAATTGCCAGATCCATGGGTCAGTCTCCAGCTCATGCAAACCTTTCACCCTCTCTTTAAAAAACCACCAGTGACAAACCCTGTCCTGAGGCTCAGGGGCAGTTTTGTTCCTGCCAGATCATTCCAGATTGGGTTTTCAGAGCTGCTTAATGAAGGTGTTCAATGCTCATTAAAAGTCCATAAGAATTAGGTGCCTACTTTAGGTCCCTTTTGGAAATGCTGCCTCTAATAAATTACAGGGTAAACAATGGTCACCCATTGCTAATGGCACCAATCAAACACGGGCTGGCAGCCACTGGTGAGGTGGAAATGTGTGGTTGTGGGTCACTGTAACCCCAGGGTGTTCTGTCTGCAGCTTTTATTGGTGGCAAAGGGGCTGTGGCTGACCTGTGGCAAACCCAAACCCTCAGCCACTGAGTGTGCACCTCCCTGGGTTGGGGATGGGGATATTTTCTCCTGCAAAGGGGCAAGGGCTGCTCTCCCCTGTGTAGGTAAGTCCTCCACTCCTCGTTTGGAAAGCAGCACTTACATAACTGACCTCAACACCAGCTTATGTTGCTTTTTAGAAGATGCTGAAGTGTGTAGGAAAAGTCCTTCCCTCCCTGACATCTTGCTCCCTCAGAGGATTGCTTTGTTTGCAGCTGTGGGAGCTTGGTGGGGTCTCTGGGGCTCTGTGTCTGCACCTGCAGTGGGTGCAGCACCAGTCCCTGGGCATCAGTCAGGATTAGTGTGGCCTCTGAGGGTGCAAAGTGCAGCTCTGAGTCACAGCCCTGGCTGGGCTGGGTTGGCTGTCAGGGAGTGTGGGTGCAGCTCTTGGGGTGGGCAATCACAGTTTCCCTCTACAGCTTCTGTACCAGCAAGTCCAAGATGGGTCTTTCTCAGCTCTCCCCCTGCCCTGCTGAGCCAGTGCTGTGGGGAAGCTCCGCCCTGAGCTGGGGATGGTCCCATTTGATGGGGAACAGGGACCTTGGGCTGCACCCTGGGTGTTTTCAGGGACCTGCTTGGAGTTGAGACCTCAATTCCCATCACAGTGCAATGGGAATTCAAGGCTGCCTCCTTCCCAGATGATGGTGAAAGCCAACAGCAGTGAGATCTCTCTCTCCTGGGTGACATCTCTTTTAAAGCTCTCCTTTTTGGAATGAATAAACTGCCCTTGCCAGCAGGAAGTCTGCAAAGGCTTGGAGTTAAAGGCATTTGTTTTGGAAATTCACTTCCAGGCGAAATGCTTTCCCAAAGGGAAACACGCTGGGCCGGTGGTGGCCTGCCCGGTCAGACAAGTGCCATTGTTGTGTCCCTGGACAATCAGTGTCAGTGCTGCAGCTGGGACCCCGCTGGGCTCCTGTGCCAGGTCGCCTCTGGCACCCAGAGCCGTGCCCAGGGCTGCACAAAGGCCCCTCTCTCTGGGGGATCCCCGGGCTCTTGGCTGAGCTCTGGGTGGGTTTGGTGCCGAGCTCCCGCCGGGCCCAGAGCCCTGGGCAGGTCACACCTTGGGAAGGACCCACTGCTGGGTCTGGAGACAGAGACAGGACCTTGATTTCAGGCTGTCTGAGGAAGTTTGGCCTTTACCCACGATTGAATTCCACAGTGACAAACATCCACGGAGACAGGCCCTCCCCTCAAGATGTCTGCGGCCTTTTCCCTCCTGTGTCTGCTTTCTTCCTCCCCCTGTCTCAGATTCTGCCGCCAGCTCTGGGTGCAGGAGCCTCTCCCAGGCCGGTGCTGGGCAGATGCAAAGGCAATTCCCTGCTCCCACTGTGCAGTTGGGTTTGCTTGGACCATCTGAGGTAGGTTTACAGCTCGTTTAACCCATGCTGGGATTGCCCAGGGTGTTGTTGCTGTACCCAAGGTGAGCTCTGCAGAGGGAAGCAGTGGGATGGCACAGCTGGCTGGAGCTGGGCTGCCTCAGCCTGGCTCTTGGGAGGACTCTTAGAGGTGGTTTGGCTGAAGGGGATGTTGAAAATGCAGCTGGTTTCCCAACACCAACCGCCCTCCTGCTGCGCCTGCTGCCTGCAATGGTGACATCCGTCCCCTCTGGGGCAGCTCCTCTCCTTTGCACCTCCAAAGATGTAATCCCAGAAGTTGCCATTTTATGTCCTCACCTCTCAAGTCAGGGGATGGAAGGGCAGCAGGTTCCTGGCTAAGGGGAGCACAAGAGAAATGAAGCTTCTTCAGCACGAGCTTTCACCTGCATTAGCAGCCAGATTAGAGGCCACTCAGGAGCTGTGGGGACAGAAGCTGGTTGTTAGCACAGGCATAACCCATATTTGCATGGCCATATCTGTGTCCTTGTGAGATTACAGCTTCCACACAGCATGTGACTGCAGCATGGAATGGCTCTCTTGGCTTATCATGTGTACACTTTGCCTTTCAGAGGATTGAGAAGGCCTTGAGTTCCCCTTGAAAATCCAAGGCTTTGTTCCACCTCTCAGTGTCCGCGGCGCTCGGAGCTCAGCCAAAGCCAGGAATATACAAGTGGGAGGCACAGATGGACTTCTCTGGCCAGGCTTCCTCTGAGGCTCTCACTGGATTTAGAAGTTGTCCATCAGCCTGGTTCACTGCTGTGAGATCAGACACGAGATGTGTCTTTGAGCCCTCCCAAGGCTGTGGCTGTCCTGCTTCCCCCTCTCCTCTGGAACACAACTCTGCTTCCTGCTTTGAAGCCTCTCCTGTTGGAAGGTGGCGTAACACAGACCACAGCCACGTAAATCCATGGGATTATATTGCCTGCTTATGGCAGGAGTCCTTTGAAAGGGTGTTCTAGTTGGATGGGGAAGAGTACAAACAGATTATGCATCTCCTGTTTCTCCCTGGGAAGGCAAGGAGCCCAGGTGCCAGTCAAACACACTGTACTGTAACAGTGCACCTCGGGGAAAGCGCTTCCCTTTCCCCTGACAGCTCTCCTGTGAATATTAATTTCTGTATTTGAGTGTCTTCATCTTCCAGGAGCTGTGCAAGTGCAAACATTACCCAAGTCTTGCAGTGCAGAGCAGGCAGGGAGCCAGAGAGGAAGCAGTTGGGAAGATGCTCTGGGTGTGCTGCTGTTTGTAATTTGCTGCTCTGGGCAGATTTAGCACCATTACCACGTGTGATGGGATGGATCTGGGTGCTCATATGGTATTTATTTACTGATAGATCACAGGAAGGAGAGCTGATAAAGGCAGATAAATATGCAGGTATTTTGCATTACACTTAAACCACCTGCCTGTCCATGTGGTTTAGTTAAACACAAACTCCAGCCATCAGTGCCAGATGTATTGCAATGTGATGCCAAAGAGGAATTGTAACAAGGAATGTTTTCCAATAACCTGTTTTTACCAGGAGGGTGGTGAATGCTCCATTTGATGGAATGATCAGTGATACTCAGCAACTGCTTGGACTGTAGGGGTGGAGGCTTTGCTAATTCCACCTGGAAATTCCTTTCCTGTTGCTTGGGGGTGACGAAAACTTTCACAGCCAGCCAAAGACCCGTCTTCTCCCTGCAAATAAATACAGCTCAAGTTAATAACTTGTCTGAGGGGAAGAGATGTGAAGAAGAATTTGGGCCAGCTGTTGTTTCTGTGTGGCATTGTCAGAGGCATCTCAACATGCCACAGGAGCTGCTTTTTGGTAAGTGTTGTCCTTGCCTTCTCAGCCAGCTCTTCATGAGCTTATTGATGGTGTTTGCTCATGTCAAAAAACTTTTTTAAGCTGCTTGAAGTCCTCAGGAACTGAAAGAGCATTATCAGCTTCCTCCACACTTTGCAACGTGCACCCTGTGAGAAACAAGATAGTTAAAGGCTTTTCTTCTTATTGTGCTTCATAAGTTTTTATGCAAATTGAAATAGGCATTATTAATGAGATGTTAATAAGCCCATCCCTTTGGTGCCACTGGCATAACAAGTTGGCTATCTCTTCATAGTGAAAATTATTTGACTTCTATTAACTTTTTGGATCCCATAATATGAGCTCCCTGGGTGATGTCTGCCTTGCTCACTTCCCCTCCCTAACAAGATTACCCCCCAGCCCAGCAGTGAGTCAGAGAGGCCTGGAAAAGGAGGAGACTGGTTCCCATCTGCCCAGGGAACGGGACAAGGGATGGCAGGGGATCAGGGAGATGTGCACAGAGCTGGGTAAGTCAAACTGGAGCCCACACAGGGAGCAACAAAAAGAAATGAGGGAGAGACGATGCAAAAATAAGAAAAGCTGTAGAAGAACGAAGGGATTTTCCTCTCTCTGCAATACAGAGAAATCAAATGTCAGGCCACCAGAAGGGGTTGTCCTGTCCTGTTATCTGTTCCCAGTCTTGAGACTCTTCTCTGAAGGACTCACTGGGGAAACACCTTTTCCATGTTGTATCTGTGCGTGGGAAGAGGATGGGAAGTAACAACTGGTCAGAGCAAGTGGGGCTCAGAGCCAGGAGACCCCCCCTGCCTCAGGTGTCTCCCCTCCTGCAGTCAGGGCACCCTGGGTTTCAGAGCCTCCCTTCCTGGCAGAGGCTCTCAAGCTGTCCCTCTCTCCCTGTTCCTTTGGCAGATTTTGTCACCTGCCCCAGTGATCTTGTTCCTGGCACAGGAGTGTCAGACTGGGATAACTGCCAGGGCAGTCGGTGCCACCAGGCTGGGGTGAGGCTTCTGGGCACGTGGTGAGTGCTGGGGTGGCACGAGGTGGTGAATTCAGGCTGCTGGCACTGGCCAGGCCCTGTCCCTCCGTTGTCACCGGTGCCCTTTGCGTGCACATCCCGCCTTCCTCCTGCTCTGGCCCTGGGCCTGACCCCCTGTGCACCAAGGACTGGAGAGCTTGGAAACTTCCACTGAACACTTCGGTCCATGGATTTTCCAGAGGAAGTTCAGGTTGTGGTTTTGGTTTTCTTTTGGTTTTGGTTTTATTAAAAGGAAAAAGCAAGGAATTTCCCCTCCAGCCTGCAGAAGGTCACTGCCAGGAGAAGTGGCTTCATTTCTCTTTCTTAAAGCCTTCAAATAATGAGACCAAAAAGGCCAATCTTCTTTAGGGGATGGTTTCAGTCTCTTGTATGATGGTGCAGGGGGGAGGCTGGAGTGAGACACGGGCTCTGCTGAGATTGGCAGAGGGGGAAAAAAAGCAGTGTGTGCCATTTAATTTCTGTGATGTTCTGATTCCCTCCCACCAGCCTGGAAATGCTGAATGTGATCCTTTGTCTGGCATATGGGGATTTGGAGAACTGTTGCTAATTACAGCACTTGTGCCATCTCCCTTAAATGGCTTAAATAATATATTAAGTGCTTTTATGATCTCCCCCAACACGCTGGAATGCAAAGAAGTGCATTTTATGCTGTTTATAGTTTATGGCTGGAGTAACTTATATAACATTAATCTGCAGCAAAAAAAAAAAAGGGTTTTGATGATTTATTGTTTGTGCAATTCCCAGCTGGGGCTCTGGATGCTCAGCTCCCCTGGTGCTGGGTGTTCTCCAGAGGCAGGGCGTGCAGTTCCATCTTGGAAGGTGGGATCTAATCCAAGGGGAAGAGGCTGTGGGTGGCTGCAGGGAATGGTGGATGCCAGGGAAGGGTCGTGGGACACCACTGGACAAAGCCCTGTGGAGTTCAGGTGAGTCTGATGGCAAAGGGACAGAGTGTGGGACCTGGGAGAGGATCACGGGAAGTCACATTGTAACTTATTTAGGGAGTATTCTCATTATTTTAATTAATCTTTAATTGGAAATTAGGAGCAGGTTACGAAGCATCATATCTAGAAGTGGGAGTATTCCATGGTCTAGACTAGTGCTTATCCAAAAAAAAAGAAAGGATCTTTTTTTCACCCCTTTTGTGTGTTTTTTTTTCTAGAAAAAATTCTTCTAGTTGTCTGTTCCCACCCAGATTCCTGTGTCTCCTGCCTCGGAATATCCACTTTCTATTCCTGTTATTGTAGCTAATGTTTAAAGAAAATGTGAGAAGAGTGTGCTGTGAATGCCTTGTTGCTGTATCTGGTGTGAGGAATAATTATGGAGCAGCTGAGCAGTGCCAGCCAGGGGCTCCAACAACCTGGGAAGACACATGTTGGGAGGGCACACAAACCACAAAGGGAATTCGTGAGAACGATGAAAAGATTGGCGTGTTCTGACCTATAATTTGGTTTGGTTTGACACAGCTCTCTGTAAAATCACAAGTTTTGTTAGAATATGCTGGTAATTAGCAATATTTCAGCTCTTTGAAATTAAAGCATTGTGCAGGCTCTGCAGAGCAGGGGGAAAAAAAGTGTCTTTGTCTGGTTTTGTTTGCTAGGAGCTTGAAAATAGGGAGGTGAGAAACTCGTGTCAAACCTTGAAGTATAATTTTGCAATTAAAAGACTGAGGAGAAAAGTGTGATCTGAAGACCTTCAGTTTTCTTGCTGTGACATAAAATTAACAGCTACCTTCATTCTCATTCTGGTTTAATATTCCTGCAGAGAAGGAAGCAAAAAGAACTCCCCAGGCTGGCTCCAGTGGGATGGAGGAGCTGTTCCTTTGACAATGACAGGGTACAGGCTGGGAGGGGAGGGATTTGGGTTGGCATTAGCCTGGCAAACGTCTGCACAACGCTCTGGATGCTCTAAAGTGATATATTTCTAATGCTAAAAACAGAGAGGTGCTCTCTGGGAGATGTTTAGAGGCATCTCCAGAAGATTTCAAGGTCGTCCATGCAGCAGCTTGCAGGGATGCACAGCTGGCACCTCATCACTAAAGCCAGCAGAATCTCAACTCCAAGGCTGTTAGCAAACTGTGTGGGTAAAAATAGAAGGGTAAATTGAAACTACCTGAGAGTGGAAGAAACAGCTGGGAAGTGATAAGAGGCAGCACAATGAGTGGAGAAACTTTTGCCCATCATCGTGGTGTCCAAGTGTTTTATAAGAACTTCAAATTGCTCCTTCCTTGAATGTACCAATTTTCTTTTTCAAACTGTGACAATTTGGCAACCTCCATTGACTCTGAACTTGTCTTCTGTTGCAAAGAATCTGCTCAAGAGTCTACTCCATATTCCAGGCCTAATTTTTATTACAGTAGCTGAAAAGAGCTGCTAGGCCAAAAGCTCTTCTAGGAGTAGCTGGACTTCTACCCAAAGGCTTTTATGGATCATTTAACAGTATGTTTTACAAAATAAATACCCATGCAAATACTTAATATAGTAGGCAAAAATTCTGATTAACCTCTAATGCTTTACCTTGCTGCACAGGCACAATGAATCCACAAAAGGGGGAAGGCAAAATGCTGTTGGAGCTACTGGTCCAGCAACGATACAGGTTTTGTTTTGGGAGCCCACTGGAACACTTCAACAGCCCCTGCACGTTCAGCTGAAATGACAGGGACACAACCTGCTCATCTGTGTCCTGTTGTGACTCACTGCTGCATTCAGGCAGTGGGGTGGGATGTGGTGGCTGGAGCAGATGGCAAGAGGTTGGGCTATTTTTGTTGCCTTCTTGGCTTGATCAAGCAATTCTTCCCTGACTGATTACAGGCATGATGGTATCTTAGATAATGCCCCTTGATAAAGGCCTTTTAAATCCTTAATTACTGTCATTAGCCATTTGACACCATAAAATAGAGCTGTGTTGTTTCAATGTCTTTCTGTTTTACCCCTGTCTGTGGGGTGTCTGGAGTGTGCACAACAAAACCAGGGAGCTGGAGCCTTTGGATCCCAATCAGAGGTGTGTGCCAGCACAACAATGTGTGTGTGCACACAGTTGGATCTGCCCCTGTCCAGGGCTCTTTCACTCTCTGTGTTGGGAGAGCACTGAACTGAGACATCAGCCTGTTGGCAGGGCCAGGAGGGCTGGCAGGTTCCTCTGTTTGGGGATGTCCTTTGTTGGGTGTTTGAATTGGGTGGAACCTTAATTAGCAAATAAGAAGCTTTGGCCTTCCCTTGCAAGCTCTGAGGCAGAATTAAGGGAAGCACAAGGATGTGCCAAACAACAGGGCAGCACTGGCTCCGTGGCTTTTGTTTCACTCCGCTGCCCTGCTGCTTTGAGATGCGCTTCCCACTGTAATCAGCTGCTGGCAAAGCGCTCCCGAGCTTGTTCCATGTTTGATGCTCTGGTGTTGCTCTCAGTGTACACAACAGCCAGAGTGCTGCAGTGCTGGGGACCCCGTGTGCAGCAGCTGGGGAGCTCGGAGGAAAAGCAGCCCTGCCTTTGAAAGGGGAGCTGCCCCGTGGAGCCGCGGGGCCGGGGCCCTGCCCGCTGTGCGCCCGGGCCACGAGAGCTCCTCTGTCCACAGTGCAATCCGGGCTTTGCTGGAACACACTCAGCATTAGTCACTCCTTGCAAAGCCACTCCTTTCATTTGATCCTCTGTTATTAATTATTTGCACTTCCTCTTGTCACAACACATTTTCTTTTTGCTGCCCGGGATGGAACTTGCAGAGAAATCCTTTACTTCCATTCCAACGACACAGCGGTTTCTGTCTCCGGGAGAGCACGGGATTGCTTTTATCAAACATATTTCTTTTCCCATTGTTTCCTGATGACAGATACTACTCTTAATCGACACAGAGACAACACTTTGAAATGGGAGATCCATGTTCCCGTCAACTGTTGTTACGTTGATAAATCACAGCGTGTCTCACTCGGTGACTGACACACGTCTGGCTTGCAGTCTGCCTCTTTTTTGTCGCAGTTTCTCAGTGCTAACAACAGCCTTGCCAAAGCTCGGCTGCTCCCTTCCCTCGGTGTGCAGCCCAGCAGGATGATTAATTCTGTCACACGTTCCCCGGGTACGGCACAATCAAACAGGTTGACAGAAAATCGGGAAGGACGTGGTGTTTGTGGGAATATCTGACGCGTTACGCTCACCTCGTGACTGTCGTGAGCTGTGGCCCCTCGGTACTTCTGGGTTGGAGGAACATCCACAAAGTCTGTGAAGGAAAAAAAAAAAACAGGGATTTTTTTCCTGTTCTTTGTGGGCCTCAAGTGTGATTGTGCCACCCTTCCACGCACAGGGAAGCTCTGCTCAAGAGAACAGCGAGAGTGGAGGGAGCCTTATGGTGTTTTTTCTGTGTCTTTCAAAGGCAACTGCAGGAAAAGTGGGGGATCACTTACCCACAAACCCTAAAATAGCTCTGGGTGTGACGTGCCCCCCTTCCCTGGGCTGTGTGGATACCACTATCAATAAGAGGAGCTGAAGTTATGGATTGAGCAGTAATGTGAGCAGCACTTCTGGGTGGCTTCAAACCTGGCACAGGCTCCCTGAGCAGAAACAACCAGGGGGAAGTGGCTCAGCAAAAATAGCAATTAATTCTGTTATAAAGGGGGGGGGCAGAACTAAACAGAGGGAGCCCACAGCTCAAGTGAGGCCTGTGGGATGCTCCACTTCCCTTGCCCTCCTTTCCTGGGCACTGCTGTGCCCCTTCCCGTCTCTGCCACCCCCTGACTGCAGGTCTGTGTGGCACCGTGGGTGTGCAGAGCAGGGCTGTCACTCCTGCCCGTCACCCCCACGCTGTGCTGGCACTGCAGCTCAGCCCTTGGGACACAGGGATGGGCTGTTCCCTCCTGCCTCCCCGCCCTGCCTGGAACTCAGCAGGAAAAACCAGGGGCTGAGGTGCCAGGAAGGAGCAGGGGAGGGTGCCAGGCAAAGGCCTGGCTGTCGGGGCACAGGCAGCTGTGCCAGGGTGGGTGGGGATGGGCAGCTGCTCAGGTCAGGGGAGTGCAGGGGATCTCTAGGGCAGGGGGGGAAAGAGAAGTGTCCTCGTGCTGAAAACGTGGGGAAAAATCCCAACCCTCTCCCTCCCTGGCTACAACCCCCTGCAGCCCTTCCTGCCTGGAAGCACAGCCCCTCAGCGAGGGGGGTGATTGCTGTGCTTGCAGAAATGCAGTTTGACTGTTTGTGGCTAAAAACAAATAAACACAAATTTTGATAAAAATAGGGTGGGGCTTCCTGAGAAAGAAGAAGACTTCATTTTCTTATCTGCTATTAAAGCTGGATCCTAGAATTATTACCTTTCTCTTTTTAAATTTTCTCTCTTTTGAAATGTTTATTAAAATTCAATGTAACTTAATTAAAAAAAATTAAATTAAATTTTTAATTTTCCCCCACAGTATTTCACCCCATGTTGGCAATAGTGTGGGAGTACAGCTTATATGACAACAATAGGAGTGTCCTGGTAAGAATCTGTTCCCTTTTTTATTCCCCTCTAGTTTATATAAATCTGTAACAAACGTCACCCTCTGCTACTACTCTAAACCACTTGTTTCGTGGAAAATGTGGCAGCAGTTTCAATTTGCAAGTGTAGTTTTGCTGCTCTTTGAGGAAGCCTTTTGTGTTTCCCCTCTGCCTCTGAAAACTCAGAATCAGGTTGGCAGACAATGATTTGGGGTATTTTTCTCCTCCATCAGTTCATTTTAATTAGAGAGATGTGAAACCATCTAGCTCTGAGCACTGCAGGCCTGCAGTACTGAATGCTCTTATTGCACCTGGATATCTCTGCCACCTTCTGCTCTTCCCAAATATTTGGGATGTGCTCTGCTGCACTTCTGTCAGGGCTGCCTGTGAAGCAGGAAGGGGTAAAAGTTGTCCCATGTTTGTGCAGTTCCAAGCAGTCCTTATGAAATGAATGATGTCCCGGGATGGGGAGGCAGATATTGGGGAGAGGGAGGCACAGATTTAGAGCCCGACGACAGAGCAGGGCCTCAAAGTTGCGTTTTTTGGCTTCTGTTTTCCGTAGATTGGAATCGGGAAATCCTCGACCCTACCCTGCTCTTCTCAGAAGGGTTTCTGAGTCCCTGCAGCAGTTCCACAATTCCTTGGCTCACCTCTTTGGAGCTCAGGCCTCTTTGCTGTGACCCCAAACACCCTCTGCTCGGCAAGTGCCCTTTTCCCTGTTCCTGGTGGCTCTGTGGACTGCAGCCCCCTCCCGGTGACAGCCAAGGGGGCTCCTGCAGCTCCTGGGCTGCAGTAAATACCTGCTTTGCCACAGGCACCTGACAGTGATGCAAAGACACTTCAAGATATTTGCTAAGTGCTCAGGAATTAATTTGCGATTAGTGAATAATTAACTAAACCCCAGCAATCCAAAGGACGGGCGGGCAGCGTGATTTGCATGTGCAGCACTTCTCTGTCACCAGAGGAGCTCAGTTCATCTAATACAAGTCTAAACTCGGTGCATCTTAATTTGATTTACCTTTGACATGGCATTTAAACAGTAGCAACATCTACAACCTTGTGCTCCCCAATAAGGCTTCATTAAAAAGTTAGTGCCAGATCCAATCCTTGGTTAGCACAGGCAGCCTTATCTCAGGGTTCCTGCTCCAGTGCCTTTGAGAACATGCTTAATTTAATCTGAACAAAGGCACTGCCACCGGGAGCCTCCAGCCCGACTTTCCACTCCAGAATATCTTTGTTATTAAATTTGGTGCGTACAATGGGTCCAGTAAATTATTTTAAAGTACTCTTCAAACAGAATTCTACTGGTTGTTAGACAGGGTTTGTATCCCTGGGACGTGAGAGGTGTCCCTTTGGTTGGGCTCTTTTAGAATGTCATACAAAAATGCAAGGTGAGTCTTGGAAACTGGGAAAAGCAGCAAGTTTTAAGGAAACATATTTTTTAAGCATTCTGGAAAGATTTTTTTTATTTTTTAATATGAAATGCTAACCATTATTATGAACCATCAATCCCTTTTCCTTCCTCTAGAGGAAGGAACTCCTCACTAGAGGTTTCTGCTTCCTCATTGGTACCAAGTCAACTCCTTGTGACTTTAGGCTGGTGGCAGGATCTGATTTGTAATTATAATTTTAACCATTCATTTTTTTCATGATTTAGCAAGGGAACCAGTTGTCAATAAACCCTCAATACTGCCTAGTAATCTCTGCTGCCTGAGAATAAGGTTTGTTCATGCTACAAATAGGGGTACTGTCATTCTCTCAAATATTTTAAAGACTTTATCTAAATTGAAAGCTGCTTGTTGAAGGACAATATCAAGAAGAGATGTGTAAAGGTAACATGGAAATAAGAGGACATATATCAAGGGAGCTTAAATCCTCTTATTCCTACCTTTACCTTTTCTCTTACCTTTACTCTTTAAAAAATGATAAATGCATAACAAGTGGCTGGTGGGTGAAATATGTTTCCACTAGTTTCGTTTATATTTTTAAAAATCACTTAAGCCTCCCCCTCTCATCCTCATAGTCCATATATTCCAGAGAGGCAAAAGTAGCAGATTTTTTTTCTTGAATAATTATGTGTCACAAATCTAAGACAATAAACAGTTCAAATGACGGCAGGGGAAAAAAAAATATAAGAAGGCTTTATGAAGCTTATTTCATTTGTTGTGTCTTTGCACTTGGGTCACATGAGGAGAAATTTGGCCTTCGAGCTCCCTGTCTCTGCGAGCAGCATTCTTGGCTTTGCATATCAGATATTAAATTTGTCTGGAATGTTTGCTATAAAAATACCTACGCATGAACTTACATCAGCGAGAAAGTAACTTCGGCGTGACCTTTCCGCAGCTCTGATGTGGCAAGATCATTCCCTGTGGAAACAGTAACTTAGGGAATGACTGGCAACTGGTGTTTTCACAGGCTTTGTTTCAGTGCAGGAACAATCCTTGGAACAGGCCGCCCTTGGAAATCAATGTTTTTCTTTCAAGCTCCTTATTTTCTGCTCAGGAGCAACCCAGGGTAGGTTACCAGGCTTAATGTTGTAACAAAGCCATTTGGGAAATCCTCCCATTCTGTGTCAGTGCTGGGCTGAATACTAAAAGCAAACAGGCTGGAGAACAGCAAAGGGCAGAGGTGGTTTTGATCCTTTTACCATTCAGCACGAGTTTCTGTTTCAGACAGTGGAAAGGCATTTTAATGGAATGGGAAACTCCTACTGTCACCCTGTGGTCGCAGCCCTGCTCCTTAGAGGACTTTTTGAGAACCACCATCCCCTGTGAGGGCTGATGGGCTGAAGGGCTGAGGGTCCAGTTCCCTGTGAGGTTTGACAGGCTGAAGGGCTGTTCCCTCTGGGGTTTGAGGAGGATGAAGGGCTGTTCCCTGTCTGTTCCCTGTGGGGTTTGAGGAGGATGAAGGGCTGTTCCCTGTCTGTTCCCTGTGGGGTTTGAGGAGGATGAAGGGCTGTTCCCTGTGAGGTT